TCTGAAGCTGCTGGGTTCTCAGCCAGCTCCAAAGATGCTGCAGACACCAATGGGATGCAATAGCCAGTGCACAGCTGTACACTCAAGCCATCTTCCCACCTGGACCAGTCCTTCTCCAGAAGCCAAATAGGACTTTCCTGGTGTGCTAGCATAGGGCAGGGTCCAGTGTCCCCTCAGCTTCTTTCTGCTCAGCCCCAGGGAGCACTGTCCTGCATAACAGCCTGTAGAGCTCTTCACCTTAGAGCCAAGCTTGTCCCCTGAGTGAGGCTGGTGGTAAAGGAAGGGCTCAGCACTGGGCTGCATCACGTCCCTGAGTCACTAAGCATTTCTTCCCAAAATAACACAAAAGCTTGGTAATTCCACTGCGCATTCCGAGCTCTGTTCCACCTTAATAATGAGGCTTTTGAGTTAAGGTTTCCATTTAATGAGGCTCTTTGCAGTTTACATAAAAACCCCACATGAATAAATACTCAGTTCAGAAAAGATAAGACCTGGGGATGAGTTTGGCGGGGGTTCAGCAAGAAAGATTATGCATACAGCAGATAAAGGTGTCTACGGTTGTGCTGTCGCTTGATCTTGTCAATCTAACACCAACTGGAACATGGAGGAGAAGCAGCCGTTATTCCTCCGGAGTGCAGTAACGGGATCTCAGGAATCAGCACACCTGGAGCTGGTCAAACTCAGGGGCAATCATGTGCCTGTCCCTCAAAATCAGTGGTGATTACGGTCAGCGTGGCAATCTGCACAGTCTGATTGCTGGAAAAGGGAATTGCATGGACAATGGCTCCTATTTTCCTTTCCCAAAGAGATCTGGAGCTGGTCGTGCGTGTCCCTTTATTCTCCCTACTGCACACTGATCAATGATGCACAGTTCCAGGGCTGGTCTTTCAACAGCAACAGGCCACACTTCCCATGTTGGCTCCCCCAAAATGGGCTGTTTTGAGCAATACAGATGCAGAAGGGGCAAGGCTGAGGTGCAAGGGCTGGGAGAGGAAGGGACAAATCCCTGTAATTTTGTTGTTACTACAAATTATGCCTTGTTTAAACTCTCCACCTCAGGCTTTGATTTGTTATCCTGGTGCTAACCCATAGATTCATGCTTTGCTAGTCTGGATTCAAGGTGGTATCATTCAGCTCATCGTCAAGGCCAAGAGCCCTCCCTGCCTTCTGCCTGCTCTGTCACGCTATCGTAATCTTGGCACTTGGTGTGACTCATCACTGGCCCTGTTGTGATAACTGAGGCAGAGCACAGGAGTTCAGAGGGAAGGAAAACATCCATTTTTAATGCCATCCACCTCTGAGGTGATCACGTGCTTCTGGAGAACAGCAAGCAGGCACCAGCCTCCAGCCTCCCCATCTCTGCTCCTCCCTGCCTGCGCTCTTCTCACACCAGGAATGGGGGCCTGGCAGTGCAGGCTGAAACTCAGCAGCAGGAAGAGGTGATGCTGCTGGTGGCTCTTCACTGGTCTCATTCTCTCCAGAGACAGGGAAGTGGTGAGCAGCTGGCGTGGAAGAGCACGCCCAGGACAGCATGTCATCAAGTGTGGGCAGTTTTATAAGGATGATGCCACCAACAAATTTCCTTTCTCCACTCCTCTTCTTGAGTCAAGCTCGATGACAATACCAGACTTGGTCAGTTCCAAGACTCATCTTTGATCAGCTCACCCAGGAACTTCTCCTTGTGGGCTGCTTCCCAGCAGTCTATTAGTTTCTGTCCTCCCTTTGGCCATCTCCTTACCCATTTAAATTATTCTACTAACCTCTACTTCCTTCAGCCCTGTAGAGAGCCCTCATGAGACTACTGGGGGGGGGAGTGTCCAAATCATAGACACAACATAACACAGCTAACTGTGTGAAGTCTTATATGACAGACAATGATTCCTTGTGCATGCAAACAGTACTGAACTGAGTGGGAAGAGCAAGGGCTGTAAGGGACAAACCTTTCCTCAAGTGACGCTGGACCCCTTCGCACTATTCCTGTTGGGATAGGAGGAGCTGAGGATGAGGAGCCTGCTCCGTGCTTTGGCAGGAGTTTCAATCTGTGAGTCATAGCTCTACTGGAGCTGTACCAGCCCCTTGGCCAGACAAGCTTTGCCTTCATTAACTCTTTCCTGCAGGAGAAGCAGAAGCCAATTAATTACAACCTAGATGTTATTCCATTAAACTCCTCGAAGCTCCAGGGGAAGAGCCTTAAGACTCTACTCTGATCCTGTTGCCACTGACGCCAGTAAAAAGCTCTCCACAGACTTGGACGGGAGGAGGTATTAATTCCACGTCTGCTTTCAGCCTGGAGTATGGCCACACGGGGTGCCACTGCCAGGAGGGCCATGCCTCTGAACACCATCCCTCTGCCCCATCAGCACCTGCCTTAAGGAGATGCATTGTCTGAGAGAACGATTTCTGCTGGTCCTGGACAACAGACCGAGCGGCCATCCTCCCAGTGGCCATATATTGTAGTTACCATCAAAACCTTGCTCCCGTATCTTACCTTAAACATTCATCCTGCTGCTCCCTCTAAACAAACAACCCTGAGACTTTCACTTTCCAAGCTGAACAGACTTTAATTAATTGGATTTGCAAAGGGTGATCATCACCATCTGAAATGACAGGCTTCAGATCATTCCCAACACTTACGGTTTTGCTTCTAGATGAGAAATCTTCATAAGCAGGGATTAAGTCACAGCTCCACAAGGCTGGTTTTAAGTGGGCACATCTTAGAACCGTTCCACAATCTCACTATTTGTGTTCAAAGAAGTCAGAGGACTGAACGCAGGTTGCCTGTGTCACACTGGACTGCGCAGTTGACAGGGCAGGAATTGATCCTGCTTTGTTATAAGAACAAGGTAAACGCCATCATCTGGTGCAACGCTACAGACATGTCTTTGCATGGGGTCTGATGCCATAAAGCCACGTTCTCTACAGTGCCTGAGCAGCTGGTTTTTTGTTCACATGGTGTGGAATAGGTACAGCTGATAAAAGAAGTGTATTATTTACACAGCGTAAAATAACGCCACTGGTCTTCTGGACACAGGACAGCATAGTTCGAAGTCACATTTCCCTTTGTTCCTCTTGTGGTGCAAGTAGCCGGTTGGCAAGGGCCCAGCACTTCTCAGACTGCTTACAGGACTGCCTCGTCTGAGCTCTGATCTGTGCCACAGCTTGTATTTCTTGTATTCTGCTTAGCTGCACCGTGGGCCAACAAACTCCCACTGCAGCCAACAGGCCCTCGAGATGCAGTGTTTTTCTCAAGCCGTGGCGCAGTCATGTGTCCCCTCTTCCCTCTTACTGCTCTGAACACTTTTCTTCCCAGTCCCATTTATTTGGGTCACCATTTCCTAGGAACTCATCAACAAAACTCAGCAGCAGTGCAGGAGAGGTGCTTTGCTCCTGCTTTAGTCCACAGAGGTGGTAATGCTCTGGTGGTGGTCACGTCATGGAAGCGCTCAGATGCAGGTTCATCTGTTGATGTGCACGTCTGTCCTTCCCAGGGAAAAGGCAGTGGATTGAGGAGGGCAAGAGCTTCCTGCAAGCCTCTGGCAGATTGTTTCAGTCAGTCAAGGTGGATCTAAAAAGAGAGAAGAGCTCTCAGTAAGAACTCAAAGAGAAGTCACAATACAGAACAAAGTGTGAAAGTGAAGAAAACCAGGTTAAACATTTCATCGTTATTTCTTTTCTGTCAATCCCTTTTCTACTGTCTGGTAAATTCCCTTTCAGGGCAATTCAGGACTGTTTAAACCCCCTGGATGAACACTACCTCGCAGTGGGATTCTTTAATAGCCAGGGTGGGTCAGCTTTCCAATGGCTGCTGTGCCTCACCTCAGCTTCAGTTGTTTCTGGACAGCTACAGGCTTACGGAGAAAAGAATTAAGATGCACCAGCCCTGATCTGGGTTCAATTTGTGGTTCCACCAGTTCTGGGTCCAAGAACAGAGTATTTTTGCCCATGAGTTTTTGTGTGCAGATTCCTACATGAAGAAAAAGAAGCTACACTGTACAAACACGTCTCTGCAGAGCAGAGCCTTAAAGAGGGGAACTGATACCTGCATCGACTCAAGTGGCCTGCGTACTCCATTTCCTCCCCTCTTCCATTCAGTCTCACAGCATATCACAACCCATTTGTCTACAAGTACACGTTCAGAAATGCCATTATTTCTTCAGTTCAGCTGTTATAAACATGCTCCATGCTTCAGAATGAAGAATGAGCATGAAGGTTGCCTGGTCTTTCTACACGACTGTCACTTCATACATATTCAGAGGAAACACACAAACTTCTTTAAACTGGACAACATATAAAGTTAAGATCCATTGAAACTAACCAAGAAAAACATATGTAAATAACAAAGCTTCCAAAGCAGCTCCTAGCTGGCCACAGAGCTGTACATTTTAACTCCTTGCCCATCAGTGATCGCTTGGGAAGACCCAGCACTATCTGCAATGCATGTGCACACACATGCAAGAAGCCAATTAAAGCAGCCAGGGCCGGCGTTCCCTCCTGACTTCTTCATGGATGCATGCAGCTTGAACAGCTTAATGAGATGGGACAGCCAGAAGTGCATCACTAGGCAACACAGCACTGCTGGCCAGCCTGGCCCCGCAATGGAGGGGGCTGGCAAGAGGAGCAGCACGCCTTGGTCAGCATCAGGAACCGAGCTGCAGAGGTGGAGATGCAGACAAAGATGTCGGGAGGAAATCAAGGGAGAAGACCCTCATCTATGGACTGTGCTAAACAGAGAGATGGGCAGGAAGCTGGAGTGAGCACTGCCAGCACAGAGAGGGATGGTCCTGCCTGAAGCCTTTTGCTCCTCCTGCGAGACTGCATGGGAGCAGCTACCTTCAAGCACGTGGGAAAGGTCCTCGCATGCAACTACGTTATTGCCAACTGTTAAGGAGTACCTGGGTTTCCATTATAGTGAAACGAAAGGAATTCAGCTCCTCTGCTCTCTTGGGGCTGAAGCATGCATGTGTTCCATCCTGTGAGTCTTCACTGCAGGGGCTCCTGTGGGGAGTGATCCTCCACTTGCATTTCAGACACCTGTATATCACAAGAACCGTAAGTTCAGGGCTCTGCCCATCCCTGAGATCACAGTGAGCACCCTTCCTGCAAGCCTGCAGTGTGAGTGCTTTCCAGATGTTAACAGCTGCACACCCTCCATCAGCTAAATGCACACAGAACAACTGGCAGGTTTAAAGCATCTGCTACAGATTTTACCCAGGTGAAGCAAGGCTGACAACCAGTAACACTTGGAGCTATCAAGTGCCTCTGACAAAACACAGCTGCTTGTTCCTGTGTCAGCAGCATGGTGCGTGAAGCACTGATGACTTTCAGAGGAGAATGTCACAAGGGATCTTTTTCCCACATTCCTATCCTGAGATCTTAGAGTCAAGTATAGAAATAAAGCAGAAGAGCATCAGAAACTGCACCAGTTTGGAAGCCTGTATCCCCGTCTGCTTGCGCTGCTTCAGAGCTACGATGTCTCTCCCCACATTAGGTAGTATTTTCATTAGATACCCAACCTCTGGTTCTGATTAAATAACTTGTATAATTAGATTGAGACATCTGCTTATCCCTCCGGGGAGAAATCCTTTTCAGCAGTGGACTCAGTCTGATTTGGTTAATTACCTTAGCATTACTGTATTAATACGCAGTTTCTTGATGGCAAGAAGCTGTGGTATTAGGTTTATTCCTCCTGGCTTTCCCAATACTATAGCAAGACAGTTTAGGGATTAGGAATCAGGCATTGAGTCCAGTATTCCCCTGCTCTCTGCACTCATCTCAACACTCTCCCCTGGTTTTGCTGATTAAAATATTCCCTGTTTTGCTTGCCTGTTGAATACAGTTTCCAGGTTCTTTGTTTCACATATAAGGATAATATATTCCCAGTGACTGATACCAAGCAATGCATTCTGGGATGCTTTGGAGTAATTAAAGTTCTCAGGCTGCTTTGGTGATGCGGATCTGTATCAACAAACAGATGCATTACTATGGGCACTGCTTGGTTTTCAGGTCATCCTCCAGAAGCAGAGCAGTCCATGTACAGGCTGGCAAAGTGGAATGGACACAGGAGGAGAGAAACATGACGTGAGCTTCAGGTTTGCAGGCACTCTCGTTTCCTGGTGCCTGCATGTTTGAACATCTGCAGGCACCTGGACTGCAAAGTTCTGCAACTGCAGGAAAAACAGATTCTGTCCTTGGGACAAGCTTGACCAAAAATGAACCAACTGATGCTGGAACAGAAGCGACTGAGTTTTGCATCCAAGCTGGGAAAACATCCTCAGAAGTGGCTGGCACTGAGCCCAGTGGGCACCGAGCCCCGAGGTGGGTGCTCCAGAGCTGCACCAGCAGGCAGGAGCTGTCCCTGGGGCGTGCAGCCGAGTGCCTGCTGGCAGTGGCCCAGGGGCAGGCAGCTCTGGCAAGGCCCAGGCTGAGCACCCCAAGGTGCCACTGGCTCCGAGCTCATTACCTAAACAGGCTGGTCCAGGGGCCCAAAGGCACTTGTGGCAACGGTGAGAACTGAATCAGGAGCAAAAGAAAGATTATGCAATAGAGCGTTTTTCTATCAACGGATAGAAATACCTAATAAGATGTAAATCATCTGTTTGATAACCAAGCTGTTACAGAACTAGAGATTCAGGCTTCCCAGGGAACCTTCAGTTCTCAGAACCATCTATTTACTATTTATATGACTTGCCAGCCTCTCTAAAGGCCTGTCCTGTTCAGAATGCTGTACAGGCAGCCAGAAGGCGCTTTCACAAAGAATTGTCTGGACACTTCTCAAAACAAGAATATATTCAGTGCAGAACTTAATTGTGACACTAAACCTGTGAGGTTTAGAGAAAGGCGATGGGGATGGAAATCATGGGAGAAGAGAGGCAGAGGAAGGTAACATCAAACGCCTATAGGAGGTCAAAGCAATGATACCCTGTCCGGCAACAGAGGTGACTGTCAGACCAGCACAAAGCCTGCAGCAGTGCCTCTCCAGAACACTGTCCCAGAGCAGACAGCATGCAGAGCCCCACGACACAAGTGAGGTTTGTTATCCAATAGCTGGTAGGTTTCTCTCTTCCCTTCCATGACTGTGCCCAGTTTATTATTTATTTTTGTTCAATTTATGTAAACCTTCAGCATCCCACATTCTGCAGCAAAGATTCCTGCAGATTAATGACACACTGTGCCAAGAGCCACCTTCCTCTGTTTGAAGAACCGGAGTCAGTAAGCAAATCACCTCTGGGTCATTTCTTCATGCTACTCACGACTGCAGAGACTGCTGTCATTTTGTCCTGCAGTCACCTCTTTCCATGCTGAGGAACCACAGCCTATGGAGCTGTGCCTCCTATGGATGCTGTTCTATACCCTTCCTCAGTCTTCTTGCAGAGTTTTGAATATTTTTACAGGTGTGTAAATGCTTCAACAACCAGCACAGAAAGAGAATTAAATAATTTCACCTGATTTCTGTGACCTCTGTTCCCAAGAATACTGGGCCACCCAAAGCAGTGATCAGGAGAGAGGTGCCCTCCAAGAGCCAATACATTCAGTTTAGAAAGATTTAAAGGCAGTATAATTGAGGAACCATCTGGGCTTTAACAAACCTTTTTGTTTGTTTGTTAGCATTAACACCTAAAGTAGATCCTTGCTGGGCAAACAGTATAGGTAAGCTTTTAAGGAAGCGACAGGCAACCACTGCAAAGAAGGCAGAAGAAGCAGAAGTGTTTCTTACAGCACCACTCAGCACAGAGTGGAATCCAAGGGCTGGCTTCCTGGCAGACCAGTTCCAGTTTCAGCCCAGACACATTCCCCCTCCACTCCATTTTTTAGGTCAGGTAAGTAAAGGTTGGGTTTTGTCCTGAGTACTTTTCTTTCCTTGTAACTTCCATGCAGAAGCATGAGACAGAGCCAGCTACATTTCAAGCAAGACAATGGATTACCTTGCACTGATGTGGAGGCCCAAGGTGTCTCTTATTTATAGACCTCATTTTCTTGCAGCAGATTTGCATAGCTGCACTCCTGGTGGCTGACAGGCCTAAAGCTCTGAGGCTCTGGAGTCAATGCAGATACCAGGGAGCGGGATAATCCAGCAGCCAGGTATCACTTCGCGTTATGTCGCATCACGACCTCTGCGTCGCTGGACTGAACCAACCTGGCCACAGAGTGTGAAGCGAGCCTGCAAAAAAGTGGGGCAAAGGAGAATTTTGCCAGAACACTCAGATTTCTTGGTTCTGGAGGGGAGAATTCATTATTCCTCGCATCACGTTGGCACTGCGACTGCTTAGCAGGTACAACGGGAACATCCAGGTCTGTCCGTGCAGCGTGGCCACAGAGTGTTCGGGGTAATTCAGACAGGATCAGGGACCTGACAAGAGCTCTCATGCACACACTGTCACTAGGAGTAACTTTCAGCCTGAGAGAAAGCAAACTGCTTGGGCAAAGGCTAAACACTCCTGGCACCTGGTTTGGAACAGGGATGTTGCCTGGTGTCAGACAGGTGGATTGCTCCTGTTGTCATCACTGTTAAATGAACTGTGGATGAAAATGCCAGGAGACAGAGTGTGTGGTTGAGCAAGACTTGTCATCTCCCTCACTGGTGACATCCCAAAGGTGGTCCTCTGAGGACGAGGCTCGCTAGGGTGTATAGCAGAAGGGTGTATCTGCTCCCAGGCTCCAGCTCAGACCTGAGCACCCACATCCAGGAGCCACTACTGTAAGAGACAAGGGAAACCACACCAAATACCTGTTCCTTGGAAGAAGATGTCACAGAAGCCACACAGAGCTGGTGAGAAGAGGTCAGTGCCTGACTTCAGTGAGCTTCTGCAAGGAGAAATGCTGAATTAAGTGGGAGGGAAGTGACTGGCTTGCATAAGCAGTGCTGAGCTGTGCTCCTTGGCATCCCTCCCGTGGCAGCGGTGGGAGCCCTGCTCCTCCTCAGGCTGCCAGGCTGCAGGCAGCACACCAGCAAGCCCAGCCACAAAGAAGGGCCTAAGCAAACTTAGATCCAATTGCACAAAGCTGGATCATGCATCATAAAACCAGCTTTGTTTCATTAATCCTTTGATTGATTTTAAGGCCTTGCAGACATTGAAAGACTATTAAGAGCTTTGTGCTGGCAGTGCTTCCCAGCACAGGCACCATCTCTTCTGCTGCTAACCTGATGCTGACTTAACCATAGCCTGAGCCCATTCCTGGAGCAGGGCAGCCCTTAAACCCTCCATTTAAATAGCATCAGCTTTCTCTGTGCCAGAACTCCATCTGGAGGATTCACACTCATATAAAGGAAAGGCCCAACAGGGTGCTAACCCGAGCTCTCCAGGCACCCCATGGGGACATCCCCTCTGCTCTGGGGTGCTCCCCTCTTGGAACACCCACCTGCGCTGGCTGCATCCCTTGCTGCGTGGCATTCCATAGCACTTGGGTTTGGTTTGTCCTCTCCCAGGCAGGGTAGCACAGGAGTGGGGCTGCTGTGGTGGCCACTGTGAGCCCACTGAGGACATGGGGACCCATGAGGATCAGCTGCCCTGGAGAGGGACTGCCCTGAATGCCCTGCTATCAGCCTCCCTTGTTGGGACTTGTGTGCCTCCAGCAACGGTGCAAACACACTGAGGGGCCAGAGGGTCTCTCATCAGAGCCCCAAGCAATGGCAGTCCAATAGACTTTGTTTTTTCCACTGTAATTTTCCTCTTGATCCTCCAGTCTCACCTCAAGCAGTTCCCATGCCTGACAGAGCACTGATACTGCCTTACTCCTGATGCTCAGCCTGGCAGATTCCTGCAACGCATCCCCCGTTGTTCCCTGTCTTCCTTCTTCAACATCCCAGCTCTGCTTGGATGGGATGCAATATGCTGAGTGTGCAGACCTGAAACGCTCTTGCCTTTGACTGCTCATGTGCCTGCCTGTTTTCTCCAGCACCTGCCTCCTCATGTCCAGATTCCAACTCCAGATAATGCAGCCCTGCAGCCTCCTGGGCAGGGTTGTGTATGCTGGGAGAAATGCTGGCCTTGAAAGTTGGGTGTGAGTCTGTGGGATTCTTCAGATACTTTCTGCTGCTGGGATAGTCTGGAAGAGGCTGAATTCTGACCCTCAAATGGTGCCCAGGTAACTGCCGGGCAGGCCACTGTCCTAGACCATGGCAAACCAAGGCATCAGCAATGGTTCTCTCCTCTTTGTTAGGCACCTTCTTTGTTGCAGCAGACAGAAGCTTCCCAAGATGTTTTTAAGCTGTATCTCAACTTATTGTTCCACTCTGTAGCCTCCACCCAGGGCACAGGCACCCTCCTGAGCTGAATGTCCCAGGCACCCCCAGGCAAGAAGAGCCATTCAGCAGAGACCATCATCAGCACAGACTGGTGCAGGCCACAGATGCCACTGCACATGCTCAGCTGCAGTGGACTAATCCTGAGGCACAGAGAAAAGCAGATACCAGCCTCCTCCCTGGTGCTGGCAGGCTGCTGCTCTGTGGCTCCGGCCCCAGGCTGGCATCTGAGACCAGGCTGTAAGTGGTGCTGTTGCTCAGGGAGATGTAGCCTCTCGTATTTCCTCCCTTGGTTATGCTACAGCTGTAGAAGACTTGGACTGCACCCAGTATGTGCTGTGCACAACATAAAATGCACTCCCAAGCCTTACTGCAGTCTGCTTTGCTGGAGACAAATGGTAGGTGCTGCACAGAGCAGAGCAGGGTGCAGGGCAGGTTGCGTATGTGACACAAAGCTTTTGGTCATTCAGATGCTGCTGGCAGACCCACTCAACTCCACAGCACGCTGCAGGCCAGCAGCTCCTGTGCAGTGTGTGTGTGAGCTGAGTCTGGTGATGCTCAATGTCTCAGGGCACGCATGTGCACAGTGCAAGAGACCTACCACAGACTGCGAGCTGAGCCAACTGAAAAAGAGGTTTATTACAGCAGCTTGAAAGAGGATGAAAAACTCAGGGGAGGGCTCTTAATGTGCCAGAGGCCTTCAAATGGAAAGATCCCAAACCAACCGACCTGGTTCTAAAGCATCAGCCTCTTTGCCTGGCTCCGATACTGCTGCCTGTCCCTTCTACAGGGCTGAAAGGTGACACAGACCTGGTGCCTGTCGTCAGTGTAGCTTCAAGAGTAGTCCACATACCAAAAGGGAGAGCATGGGATGGGGATGATGCTCTGGCAGGATTCCCAGCAGTGAGCACATGAAGCAACTTTGCTGCTTTTCAGGATGACCAGGAAAGGGAGAAGCAAGAAACTGTGAAGCATTTGACCTGGTATCAGCTCCACACAACACAGTGAAGAGTATGAAACACCTGGGAGCAAGGTCCAACAACTGCTGTGTAGCAGGGGCTTATTAAAAGTAGGTTGTGCCAAGCAAGTGCAAAAGACTTCTTCACTCCAGACACTGATTTTGCAGATGATAGAATGAACTTCTATCACAATAAGCCAGTTGATGTAATGCTGCATAATGAACTTAAAGCAGGCAACACTAAACAAAAAAGTCTCATAGGGCAAAGCAGGGGTGAAGGCTGGCAAGCAGGCAGGGATTGGGGCTAACAGCAAGGATTCCCTGGTGGGGCCATGGGTGTCAGGGGCTGCTTGCCCCTTGGAGCTGGCTTTGTCAAGCCAGCAGCGGGGTGCAGACTGACCCCACAGAGGATCTAGTTTCCAGACCTGTTCCTCTTGAGGGAACAGACATGGACAGCAGGATTTTGGGAGCCTCCAACTTCAAAAGATCAGCAGCCATGCCAGGACGAGGATCTGCTGGGACCATGTAAGCTGCCTTGTTCCTGCTTTTTTAAATGGTAAGAGAACTTTGAAGCTGCGAGACAGGAATGCGGGCAGAGACCTGACGGTTCCATGCTGCTCAGCTGAGCAAAGCTCAGTTAATAACCTGCAACCCCCAGAGGGAGGGAGGGAAGGAGGCCGGTTCTGTTTTTGCTTAACCAGGGTCTCCTGCCATTACAACATTATAACATCAAAGAACCTTGTGCTGAGAACCAGATACAACAGCAAGAGCAGCCCCAAAAGGACCAAACCTGAGGATCTCAGAAGGGTTCGCTGCAGGAGGGTAGGGTTTAAGCCATAGTCTGGAGAAACAAAGACTCAGGGGACAGGCTCAGTCTGTAATTACCTTGCAGTTAATGGGGATGAGCAGCAGGATGAGGAGAGGGAGGGGCAGGAGACACCAGCAGGAGAAGCACTGACCTGGAGCTAGGGAAGGAAAAGTTTAGGCTGGATGCAAAAAGAAAAGGAACCCGATGAAAAACGACTGGCACAAACCAGGCTCCTAGTGGGAGAGGCTGCAAACCTACTCACAGGTCCAAGGAAATCAGGTGCAGTGTGAGCAGGAGAGCTGTAACGAATGGCTGCAGCAGGACAGCCTGGCTCAGACCCTTTGGCAGGGGGGAGTGGTCTTTCCCAGCTGCTGGTTAGTGATCCGCTACTGGTTTCCAAATAGCTCCACACCTGGAAAATAAGTGGGCACAAGTAATGTAACAGGGGCATCATCTTTAGCAAGTACAGTCTGGACATTTAACATACTGGTATTTCAGAAAGAACAGAGGTGTGCTATTTAGAAACACTCTGATGGGGTAAGAAAGGCTATTCCCAACTATCCCCTTCTCCAGGATAAATGCATTTGCAGCCAGCTCCAGGTGCTGTTGTATTTTAATCTAAGTGAAGTGACTCCTGTTCTTATTGAACAATGCTCAGTCCCACATGCCCTCAACCCCATTAAGGCACCCACGCTTATGAACACATCCAGTTAGATTTCCAACCTGGTATCCTATGATTCTATGGTTCACTCAATTGACCAGGGTCACTCAGATGTCCACTCCACTGAGCCCAAACAGCAAGGCTTCAGCTGCATTCTTCTTCACTCTTCTCAGAAGTCTCCTGTTTATATTCCCAACAACCTCACAATGCAAAGAGAAGGTGGCTCCTGAAAGGAAGGATTTATCCAAAAGAGGTTTTTCAGAGCAGTGTTTCTCAGTCTCCAGCATTTTCATCTATTTCTTTCATTTACAAGGTGCTGTATCCCCCAGAGTACAAGGCTCTGCTCAGATGGAAGCCACACAAGTCGGTGCTAAGAAGCACACCCAAGACCAACAGAGAGAATGGGCCCCTTCACTGGCTTTCCTCCCTTGCCATGGATCCCCTACTCAATCCCAAGCCTTTGGGCTGTGCAGCCCCTGCACATGCTCCCAGCACTGGAGTGGGGCTGCTCTGTGGCTTCCAGCACCCACGCTGTGTGCAGCACCCCCAGGACTATCCTGAGCATCCTGGGTGGTTTCAGGTGCTGCCATGGCCCATGTTTAAGTAGTGGCTACAGCTGGATGGGAACGCTGGAAACAGGCATTTTCAGGCAAATCCTTCTGAGGGAAAACTGGAAGAAGGTAGATTTAGATGAGATCTTAAGCAGAACTTCTGCCCTGTGATAGTGGAAGGCGTCCCTGCCCGTGGCAGGGGGTTGGAACTGGATGAACTTTAAGGTCCCTTTCAACACAAACCTATGCAAAGAACAGCTTCAATGATTTGGGGTTTCTTTATCAGGTTGTCATTCTGAGGGCTCAGAATGCTTCCCAAAATACTCTAACGCAACCAAAGGATTCTAAATTCTTCAGCATTTGACCTGGTTGTAAAGTAGTTTTAGTATTTCACATTTAGATATTCCATCAACAGAAATGAACTCATGTAGAAAAGCAACTCATACGACCTAAACCCCGAGCAACATAAAATGTGTTAAACCAGAAATGCTAATATAGATCCTTCTGTGCAATTAGAATGAACCTCCCTAATACTTTGAATATCATCCAACGAATTGCCTGGCATCTCTCTCATGAGACTGAGTAACTTCAAACAGCTGAGAATTAGAGCTTGGCTGTGCTTGCTGCGGACAGAGCCAGACAGCAGGAAGAACTGAACCAAATGGTACCATAAATGTCAATGAAAACAAAATCCTTCTCTGTTAGTTGAACTAATGATTTTGGCTGGAAATGTACATTTACCAAAATGCCCCTCTCTATTGTCATGAGTCAAATCCAATTTCCTACCGTCAAACTGGTCCGTGGCAGCCAAGAAAACGGGGTTTAATCGAGTTGAACTCTAACACCGACTCTGTAACTTGGGGAATGGGGATTCTCTCACTGTCCAGGCTTCCCACCCACTCTGAGGTTTTACTTCTGCATTTTGGGAGTTAAGCAAGAGGCACATCTCACAAACAGGCTCTTTCAAAGGAGACTGAACAGAAACAATCAGAGGCCTAAAGCCTCTACCAGACCGGAGCTCCTGACGGGACCCAGGAAGCAGGGATTCCACATTTATTTCTCACCAAGAATTTGGTAAAATATCAGGAAGTCCTCCTAACCCCCGGGTTACACTTGCGGCAGACCTTACAGCGAAGCACCGTCTCCCATGGGAGGTGAACTGGTGGCTCCAGCCACAACTGCCTGACAAAAATTCCCCCTAGCAATAAACATCTTATCTTTCCACCTGACCTTCTACCTGGCTGCTTCCTAAGGAATTATCTTAGCCTGCTTTGGGTTGAAGGGACCTTAAAGCTCATCCAGTTCCAACCCCTGCCACGGGCAGGGACACCTTCCACTAGAGCAAGGTCAGGAGAAGAATTCCTGCTTTGGAGCCTCAACTCAGGCAGTTTCAGAAGCAGGCCTGTCCACAGCTGGGGAGAGTCTTCTGCTTTCTTCCCACCAAGAACTTGTTTCTTGTAGCCTCAGATGAATCTTTCCTATAACTGTGGTTAACCTCTTCCTATGGTTAGGCTCCTCATGATTCACCTATGCTAAGTATTTTGCAATTAAACTCCCCCATAGAGCAAAACAAGCCTTTATTATAGCTGCAGAAGGCCTCTTTGGCTGGCTGAACCGGGTCTTCTGCTTTTGTTCCCATGACTTTTTCATAACAGCTTTGTGAGTTCTCATCCTTGGGCTGCATACTGCTGTGACCATAAGCTTTCATGAGATGATTTTAACATACAGACAGAAAAGGGGATGGTGCTGGGGGGGTCTTTCAGTCTACTTCCTATAGACCTCTAGTCTTTGAGGTTAAGCCTTTGTTCTTTAGTGGAACCATCAGTATGAGACAGGTGAATACACATTCCCCTGGAGCAAAATGAGCCCCCAGAGGAGCTCAAGGGACGTATCTTGGGACATTCCTAAAGTCACAAACACAAGCAACTGGCAAAAAGGGGCACCTATCACAATGGAAAGCAACTGTGCCACGTAAACAGCTCCAAAAGCAACTGCACAAACCCAAGGTCTACAAACCTGCACCCCAGTGAAAGACACACGTGAGGGAAAGCCGGTATTGGCAATCTTAGGGGTGAAATCTGTTAGGGAAATCTTTCATGTTCTCAAAGGCCACTCGCAGTTCAGTAACGACCCGTCAGGATTTCTGTGCCAGGGTTTAAAAGCTTTTCAACCCATTCAGGGGTAGAAAAGAGAGGGTTAGTTCCAAGTCTGCGCCAAAGTTTGCTCTGCAGTTAAAAAGAGTAAAATGAACTTGTGGATTTGACTCCCCTGTTTCCTTCACACAGTGTCTTCTCCACTTGAACGACAGAGCACAGAGCCTGAACACGAAGGCTTCATGTTTTATTAATGGTGTCCAATTCATTTCCTGTTTTCATGCTGATAACCTACTGAGGGAGAGGAAGGGAACTCAGGTGGCAAGACCTCAGATCCGTTTTTCTTACACCCATGAACAGTTCACAAGTGGGTATTTCACTACCAGAAGCTCTTTACTGCATGTATTAGTGCGTTCTCTGGGAAGCTGAGCTGGGATGGCTGGCTTCACAGCTTCTGGCATCCACCTCCAAAAGCCTCAGTGTTTTCAAGGCAAGTTCTCTTCAAGGTGATACCTTCGAGTCTTTGATTCAATCAATGCTCAGCAGCTATTTCCACTCCTGTCCTTTCTACGGGCCTAATCTCATCATGCACCAAATTATAACCCTAGTCAAACAAAATTCCCATTAGCAATACCGTTCCCTGTTTGTAGAAATGCCAATTTATTCCCTGTTAGAGACAAACCAATGTAGCCCAGCAGCTATTCCCAGGATTTTCCTTTTTCTTTTGAAATAAAAAGCATAACTTCTTCTGGGTCTGGAATACTTTACCATGAGTGAGCACATCCTTTATAAGAGGCCGTCTTCAATACAGTGTTGAGAGTGAGTTTCTAGAAAAGACTGCATTTTAAATACCTGTATTTATGAGCTGGAGAACAAGAACATCCCCTTACTACTTCAGACTGAAAGGATTTCAGCAGTTCATGAAACTGTTGGAAAGTGTCCCTGTATTCCAGACCTACTTTATAATAAAGGGAACCTTCCAAGCTCTTCCTCCACCATGCGGCAGATTGATCAGATGGGAACTTGCTGATAAAGGATCAGTCACGTCCAGTACTAAGTGCCCAGCTCAGAGAATTATTCCTCACTGCTGCAAAACAGAAGGAGAAAACATCCTCTTTGAGGCAGCAACCTCTTGTCCCATTCCAAGTGGCTCTATTTGCACTTAGAGTATTCCACGAGCTAGAGCTACAGCGGGCTACAG